AAAAACATGAGTCGTCATGGATCATGTTTTATACTAGCTTTTCATGCAGCAAACTAGAACATAATATATTTTAATAATTTAAATATTTAATAATATAATAATAATAATAATAATAATAATAATAATAATAATAATAATAGTAAAAGCTAGAATATAATCTATATAAAGACTACAGCCTCTCTGCATTTTCTCACTACTTCATTTTCAAAACTTTTCTTCTATACCGTAGAAGAAAATATGTGTGTGAAAGGTAAGTTGATTGCTTCAGTAGAGGTGAAGTGTGGAGGCCACCCTATTCATGATATTTTTCACACCAATACTCATCATATATCCAATATAAGTCCTGGTAAGGTCAACAAATTTGATATTGATCGAAGGTGAATCTGTAAAAGTTGGTTCGGTTGTTAGCTGAAAATATAACGACGGTATGTAATTCGCATTTCTCCTCTCTATACATATATATTATTTACTTGTATCAACTTCCGCATTTAGGTGTATTTAGTATGTAAAGAAGTCTTTCTTCAAAGAAATATTTTTCGTGAAAACATTATTTGATGATTTTTGGGTTATCATAAAATATTTTACCTCAAATTAAAGGGGAAAATCTTGTTGACGAAGTCACTTTTCTTAAAACTATCTTGATGTTTAACTTCATTTTACTTGCTCCATCTAACACATATTAGACATATTATTGATAACACTCAAAAACTTCTTAACACTCTCTTTGCTAATATTATTACTAGCATTCAATATAATATATACGTAAAATATTTTTCACCCACCAATTACCAAGTACTGAAATTATTTATCAAATATTTTTTAAAAATATTTCTCAAGGAAAATTCCTTTCATCGTACCAAACACAACATAATCAAATTTAAGCCTTTTTCCCTACTCATTCAATAATTTTCCACAATGTCAAATGTTCTTTTAAGATTTTTAACGATAGTTCTATTCAGGAAAAAGTATAGCACGTCCAATCTTCCCGGGCTTCAAATAATATTTGGAGAAAATGAAATTGAAAAACAAAGGAAAAACAAAAGAAATGAGAAGAAAATATGTTATTCTGAATGTTTATATCTTTTATATGAGGAATTGAACAGTTGAACATAGAGTAACATCTCTTGTATTTTTGAATTTTATTGATTATAGATGGAAAAGATAATATATGTAAGCAAGTGATTTAGCGGTGTGCTATTCTTTTCTTTTTCAGCCATTTGTTTTTTGGGTTTATCTAGTAGTTATATGGGGACTAAGATTTATAAACGGTTCCTAATGCAGTATTGATTAATAGCCAGTCAAATTGTGTCTTGTACAATTTAGTTGTTAGCTATACTTTAGGCATAAAGGATGAACAAGTAAAAGTTTCGAGGGTAACTCAAGCAGATTTGAAATCAGACAGTAAAAAAGTGAACAAAGGGAAACCAGAGCTTTCATAGGAGGGAAATGTTTAATGCGTGACGTTCTGCATTCGGTACCCACCGAGCATGGTAAATCGGCAGCTTTATAGGAGGGAAATGTTTAATGCGTGACGTTCTGCATTCGGTACCCACCGAGCATGGTAAATCGGCAGCTTTATAGGAGGGAAATGTTTAATGCGTGACGTTCTGCATTCGGTACCCACCGAGCATGGTAAATCGGCAGCTTTATAGGAGGGAAATGTTTAATGCGTGACGTTCTGCATTCGGTACCCACCGAGCATGGTAAATCGGCAGCTTTATAGGAGGGAAATGTTTAATGCGTGACGTTCTGCATTCGGTACCCACCGAGCATGGTAAATCGGCAGCTTTATAGGAGGGAAATGTTTAATGCGTGACGTTCTGCATTCGGTACCCACCGAGCATGGTAAATCGGCAGCTTTATAGGAGGGAAATGTTTAATGCGTGACGTTCTGCATTCGGTACCCACCGAGCATGGTAAATCGGCAGCTGACACGAGTCCAAAGTCAGAACGACACGATTGATGGGACGTTTCGCTGACTCGTCAACTCGTTTGTAGCGTACAGAGGAAGGAACCGGAGTCGGTTAGTTACTTCTCGTCATTTCGATAAATCTGCTCTCGAAAAAGTGAGGGGACTATCTGTGTACGGCTAAAATCGGGGATAAATTTACCCCCGATTTCCTAGTAAAGAAACGAGAGGAAAGGACGGTTTGACATGGCCTCGAGTATAGCCGAGGGATTCCACGGATCAGAGCCCGAGGAGGACGAATGTCGAATGGTGCACCCGAGACCAGACACGGCCGAGCATTGGGCTCGAGCAGAGTGAATAGCCGAGACCAAGGAAAAAGGTGGTTAGACGAGATAAGATAGCGGCCAAAATATTCACTCTAAATCGGATATTACAACGCAAATCTTGCCCAATATCAAACGCGTATCAATGTTTACCGGAAAAGTTTTCACCTTATTTAGATTTGTACTAGGATTGAAACTCTCCTACTATATAAAAGGGGAACCTTTTTTTTAGGACCATTGTTGTCACATATATCTAAGCAATGAAAGTTAATTTTTGTTCTCTCGTTGTTGTTTAAAGTGTTATTTAGCTACTTATTTATTGAGCTGCAACCGAGCCCGTTCCGAAGGCTGGATCAGAACTAATTCCCTACATCCAACATAAAGCTAGATTTAATCGTCCATCGCATTTGGTTGATCATTTTGTTTTCCTTGAGTTCAACTATTTACTGTTATTAGATTATTTGTGTTAAATTAAATCACTTATCATTTAAATGACGTATAAATTCAATTATTACTTTGGGATAAACACTTTTAACATTTTTAGTTGATTTCCAACTACTCAGTAAATTAACAGTTGATCTTGTGTGCCTAGAATTAGCAGAATTAGCACACGATATAATGCATATGACCCCACAATATAATGCATATGACCCCACAAAAAAATCTTGTATTTTCACGTTTATTACACTGAAAACATCAAAGAAAAAAAAGTTATGTAGCAGACAATATAAACCCTTCTTTGTCATAATAAAATATGTACTAGGAGACAAAATCACCAACGTACAAATCGTTGCGGATTCACTTGTTTGATAAAGATGATCTTCCATTTTGGATCTCTACTTAAATTGTCAGGTTAAATTTACTGTTTATATATAAATTATATACTAATTATTTATATACATATTATACATGTGTTGATTATTTAGTTAAAAGCAGCTAATTAGATTAATTCTTTTTATTTGTTTAACAATAGTATTGAAATTCAATTTTCTTCATTCTTTTATAACAGTAAAATTAATGTTCTTAATTTTGTGATCCTTAAATTAATTAAGGACCTCGTAGTTGTAAACCTCAATATTAACTATAAAATGAATATACCTTATAAGCTGTAAGTTTATCTACAGCATTTTTTTAATTAGCGTGCGTACGTAAAAATTCAAATCGAGACAAACTTATAACTTAATACAACCTAATTATATACGAAATGAACTCACACTAACCTTCGTCCCCACTAATTAAAAATCGTGGATCATGCTTTATACTAGCTTTCCATATAGCCAAGTAAAATCTATATAGAGGCTACAACTGCTATATCTCCAAGATAATTTCCAATCATTTACAACACCACCCAATCCAAATACATAATAAAGCCGCAAAACTCAATTTTCTAATATAAAATTTTTTGATGAATAACAATTGAGTTTAAGCTCTTAACTAATCTCATTGACTTTGTTTATGCTGTGACCTGTGAAGATCAAAACAAGATTTATGTGCTTCAAATCTTGAAAACGGTATCATCAAAGTCATTGTCATTTACTAATTCTACAAAAGCTTTTGTCAATTATGACTTCAGATCATTGATTTAAATGTCTATTAGAGTCTTGCCAAATACGAGTACATTATTGAAGCGTCTATAATTGCACTGATTTAATATCTACAATTTCAAACAACTTTATTGTCACATTATTGAAGCGTTTAAATAGTTTGGAATAAGAGGTTGGCACAATGGTAATCATCTTAGGTTGTGAGTTCGAGTCACCCCAAAAGCAAGGTGGACAGTTCTTGAAGGGAGGGAGCCGATGATATATCGAAAATAACTTTTCTATTCCAGGGTAAGGGTAAAATTTGCGTATATACTACCCTCCCTAGACCCGACTAGTAGATTTACTGGGTTTGTTGTTTTCTTTAAGAACATGGAAAATCTTACTAATAGATGACTGTTTCTATCTATTAGTAACTCACATCTTTATCTTGTTTAATAATTCACGTCTCTATCTTGTCTGCCACCTTGAAAATATATGATTGTTTCTATATAATAATTAAGCAATCAATGTATAAGACTGTTTTTTTCATTCCTCTTAATCTAATATACTCTCTCTATTCGGTAATTTGACTCAGCACGAAATTTAAAAACAAAAGAAGACTTTTGAAATTTGTTGTTTTAAAAACTTAAGGGGTAAAAATTTTATGGTGCCATGACATTTGTGTGGTTATAAAAGTTTCTTAGTAAGGGTAAAATGGGTAAACAGAGTTTTTAAGAATATCTCTTTCTCCACCTTAAATAGATATAAGAATATTTTTTAATATTGTATCTTATTAAGGATCAATATTTTTTATAAACAGAGTTTTCTTCTCGTTTTCCGCTTTGAGTAAGGTACATGTATTAGGTAGATTGGTTTTAAAGTTCTACCTCCCACCTAACTCCTTGACTTATCTCATGAATAATGCAGCGTGTTCCGATCCATATAATTCATATCTCCATCTCTTTTTCTACCTTGAATATATATAATATTGTTATGAAGTTATGCTAAAAGAACAAAAGAATATAGAGAGAAATAACAACTTTTAAATAACAATAATAGTAAAACTAATTCATACTTTTCTGAGACTTGAGTAAAGAATCTCTTAGTTGAAAGTCTCAAACATGACTATAAAATGAATCCCTTATGGCAAGCTGTAAACTTTATCTTCCACATTTTTAAAGGAAAAATGCCTAAGTTCATCCGTAAAGTATTCAATTTAGAGCAGATTTATCCTCAGACAAAAGGTGGCCTATTCATACCAGGTTCAAATTTACACTTTTTGGCTAACTCAAGTAAAATATCTAAAATAAAAATTTATTTTTCTATTTTTTTGTTTTAAAAAAATCCTACTATATTTAGTTAATCCCTCTTATCTATCCAACACTATTTTTTATCTTCCTCTCTCATTTTTTAACTCATTAGCCGCCCCTTTTTCCCTTACTCTCTTCACTCTTCAATTCTTCTTACACAAATACATTCACACACATATACCACAGCTTCACGTCTTCATGCATGAAGTCCTTTACCAGATTTATAAAAGGAGTGTTTCATCTATTGAAAATATTTTCACTGGAGACGACCGTGATTTTGTTGGTCGCGACCTAAAAATATAACTTCGATGGCCAACGAGATCGTGGTCTCTTTTGACGTTGCTATTAGGGGTGGGCGTTCGGTCGGTTCGGTTCGATTTTAAGAAATTCGGTTCGGTTCGGTTTTAAGAAATTCGATTCGGTTTATTTCGGTTTGAACATTATCATAGTGGGCTTTCTCTATGTAATAATTGGATTGGCGAATTTTTTCGTTTTCTTTCAAAATTTCGATAAATTAGACTGAAACCAATCGAAAATTTGTTGGTTTGCTAATAATTCGGTTTTTCGGTTAACCGAACCAAATAAATTAATAACCGAAAACCGAACCGAAAAACTAAAATTTTAAACTGAAACCAACCGAAAATACCGAATAACCGAAACCGAAATAAAAATATTTTCGGTTCGGACCGAAATTTGCCCACCCCTAGTTGCTACCGATAGAAAAGCAGGAGGGGGATGGGGTAGGTCTACTAGTTGGATTAGGAGTTAATTAAAATTCCAGGTGACATTTAATTCACTTTCGTTAGACGAAAAGGGTAAATTAGAACTATTTGTATAATGGAAGGGGTACGAATATGGTGCTTTTTTAAGGGAAGACAAATCCGCTCTTACTTTTGCGGAAAAATTAGGCCTTTCCCAAATGGTTAAAATTTTATGGTAAGGAAAACATTAACCTAGCAAGACCTAATTATACACGTAATGAGCTGACATTAATCTTCCATCTCCACTAATAAAAAGCATGAGTTGTCATGGATCATGTTTTATACTAGCTTTTCATGCAGCTAACTAGAATATGGGTGTTTATCGGGTGTTTGGGCGGATAATTATGCTTAACGGTTCGACTTATCAGTTATCAGATTATAAATGTAGTAATCCGCTAGTCATCCAATAAGACAACTGGCGGATTGGTATCAGATTAACGATTATCGGGCGGTTATCGGACGGTTTATCGACTAAACCAAATAAAAGGTTTTTTGAAGAATCATTCAATCAATACCAAACGGTTTCAAATCAATACCAAATTTTTAATATTATCTAAGATCTAACAGTATTTTGAATTGAAAAGTCTTCTTCCAAGTTCCAATTTAGTTTATATTCAAGACTATTCATACACATATGAATCAATCAAACTTTTAGTAACATTCGTTCTTCACAAGAAATCCATATTGAAAAACCAAAAAACCAGAAAATCAGACTTTAATTTGTTAGATGCATGCAAAAAAAAGGACATAAAACCACACAATTCAGCTATTACGGATAAAATTATCGGACAACAAATTACTTTCAACAGTACTTTATATACATAGAGGGGTAAAAGTATAAATATAAAAATTCTTAACGGATTAACGGTTTACCCGCAGGATGCTTGTAATTGATGCGACTAGTAAAGATGGCAGAGCCTTGATTACTATGGAGTTTTGACTGATATACTTGAATTGCAAATCGTCCTGGTAGAAGAGTAATTTTGTTTCAATGTAGTTGGTTTGATGTGAATAATGAAACAACGGGAGTTAAATAAGATGAATATGAATTTGAAAGAAAATCCTACACAAAATACGCGAAAAAGAATGGACGAGGTAAAACATCTTTTATGTATTAGTATATTAACGTGTATCTCATGATTTACATGATTTTTTTGCTAATACATTATTTTCATCATGTCTTTCTTATTTTGTTTTCTTTTGACTCTTTGTAGTTTAATGTGAAACAATCAAAGACAGAAAGTAATTAAGATCGGATCCACTACGAATGCTACGAAATATGGCTTCCTTCTGCCAGGTGTCAAAGTATTTATCACATCCCAAAATCCAATTAGTCATGATGACACCTAACTTAACCCACTAGGTAAACCAATTAACCACTAGCCAATTCCAATGTAATTTAACAATACAATTAATTAAGAGAAATATATGAAACTGATACATTTCCCCTAGAATTGGTAGTACAAATCATGAGCTTCTAAGAATAGAGTATACAAAGCTGGTATGAAGTAAATACATTATCTGTTTGAAAAGTACATAAACAGAGTTTAATGAATCTAAGGCTACCATGAACAAAAGGCAACAACAACCGGAACGCAGGTACATCTTCAGATTTAACTCCCAACGAACACAGCAACATCAGCATCCAACATCTGCACGCAAGGTGCAAAAGTATAGTGTGAGTACAAC